ATATCATAAATAAATTATGCATTAAATAAAATGTCAGGCAGAGATAAATGTCACACAGAAGGGTAAGGCTGGCTGGGACGGGAGGCAGGACCCTGTGTGCGAAGGCACCAGCTGCTCCGCCACCCAACAAAACCTCGAGATGAAGATGACGATGATGATGGGGAGGCTCAGACACCAGGGATCTATTCCTTCCTCACCACCCCAGAAGCTGCAGTCCGAGGTCCCGGTGAACAGAGCCAGTCCCCCCGGAGGCCTTGCTCCTCAGTGTGCGGACACTGTCTTCTCTCTGTCTTCACAGGCTCATCCTTCTTTGTGTCTGTCCTACTCTCTTTATATCACCCTGGTTAGATCAGGTGAGGGATCAATGACCTCATTTTACTTTAATCACCTGCTTAAATGCTCTGATTCCAAATATACTCACATTCTGGGTGCTGGGTCCAGGGTTCGAGCACATGAGTTTAGGGGGTACAATGAGCCCACTAGGAGGACAGGGACACTTCAGGTGAGACTCCAGGTGTGGGCGGTGCATGCCTGTAATCCCAGCACTCTAGGAGGCTGAGGCAGGATTATAAATTCAAGTCCCTCATGGGGAACTCAGTGAGACCCTCTAAATACACACATACATACATACTTTGGGGGCTGTAACTCCGTGCAAAGGGCCTGGGTTCAATCATCAGAACGAAAACAAACAAAACAAAACAAAAAAATCAGCCTCCTCAAGAGGCAGTGCCGACCAGTACAGGACACTGAGCATGGAGCAGGCTCCTGGGAGGACATTTGCTGATTTAGTCTTGAAACTTAACTTAGTTTTTTGTTTGTTTGCTTTTTAAAATAGAGGACGTTTAAATGCCCGGATGCTCTGGCTCCGGGAGGACACCACCAGCTTCCGTGAAGACAGGAGTCTGGTGTTTCTGGGAGCCGCGTCTCCAGAAGACAGCAGAACCCAGTGAGACAGATCAGTGGACGCCTCCATGGCAAATTTCCAAGACACACTGTTAAGTGAGAAGACTGAACTGCGGAACAAAACACAGTTATTTTAAAAACCGCACACACAATCAAATGAAACCAAGCCGGGCATTTTCGCACATCCGCACGTTAGGTGTACAAACCCACACGCCAGTGGGAGAGCCTGGGAAGGAGCCAAAGGAAGGTTTTTGTTTAACTCTACGTTTCTCCTGTGTTGTTGGAGGTTTATTTGTTGTATTTTAATGGCAAAAAATGCATTAGAATTGTGCAGTGAAAGATAAAGAAAAGAAAGAAAAGGAAATGTAAAATACGGGAACAGGCAAGTTGGATGAGCTGACATCCGGGCTGGGCTCCCGTCCTTGGAACTCTTGCTGTGTGACATTGGGCAAAGCCCTTCCCCTTTCTGGGCCTGAAGCAGAAGTTTAAGCAGTCTGTCCTCATGGTACAGTCTTATGTGTGTACCCTTGTGCAGACATAACCACCCACAAATATTCATGTGTGCATGCCCAGGTGTGCACACAACCCTTCACGCACACGGAAGTCACACATGCATGTACAGTCACACTAGTCACGGCAGACATACAGGATACACACACATGCACAGGTCATACAAGATGCATGCCTGCGGCCCTGCATGCAGTGTGCACACAGTGCCGTGTGTTTGCACAGGTACGCAATTGTGTGCAGACGGGCCTGGCAGTGTGTGTACACAAGCTCCTGTGTCTATGGCCCTCGATTCCTGGCCCTTCCAAGTCACCCCTCCCCAGCTGTCTTGGGATAAAAGCACAGGCCTCTACTTGGCGCCCATGACCGCAAGCAGGAAGGAAATGGGCCCAGTGCGAGTCAAGAGGGGGCTGGCTGGGCTGAGTTCGCAGCTGCGAGAGCCGGGTGTCAGTCTGGGGTCCACAGGGACCTGGGTGTGATCATGTGCAGGTCCTATTTTCTAACCCCGTCTTGAGCCCCAGGGCGTCCTCCTTGGGGAGGAGCTTGCCACAGGAAAGGGCTTCGTGATCTGAGAAGGTTCCCTCAGTTGAGAGCTTTGCACCCGTGACCGGGCGTCTACATCACTGGGGTCTCCTCACGCAGGTTCTGCCAATGCCATCAGTCTGTCAGTCCAGGGTGGCCCCTGCTGGTCCCACTGGGGGGTTGGGGAGAGCAGAAAAGTCAGCAATTTGCTGGTTTCCAGAGGTCTTATGCTAGGCCCCGCAGAAAGGGAAGAAGCCACAACAAACTCCACTCATGTCTGGCCTGGGCCCCAAAGCTGGGCACAGGGTGGAGGTGGGCGGGGTGCACTGAGTGGGTGGCTGGGGTCCCCAGGAGGCCCCAGCAGGCGGCGCTGTCCTCCCGGCCTGGGGGAACTGGAGGAGCTCTGGGCTCAGCAAATCCGGTTACATCCTGGCAATTGCAGTTTATCGCTGTGGCACTAATCCCTTAAAATTAGTCATTAGCGGCTTAAGAACCATTTAGCTTTGGGCGCACACTAAGGAGCTGGCAGAAGCTGGCATCTACCGGGACTAGAACTTTCTTTGGCCCAGATGCAGCGGCCAGGTGGGGCCCAGGCCTGTGTACTCTCCCTTTGCTGCTCCATGGCTGTCAGTCTGGGGGGGCAACTGCTAGTCCCTGGACCAAACCCTGGGGGATGGGGAGCTGCAGAAAACCCCAGAAGCCTTGAGCCCTAGGTAGGATGCCTGTGTGTGGCTGTCCCTGGGGAAGTGGCCTCTGTGGGTTTTCAGCCGTGGGGCATCCATCCAATTCCAGACATTGGGGATGGGTGGCAGAGGGCCTAGGCTCCACCTGTCAGGAGATCAGGCCAGGGACCTGACTCCCGAGGTGACATTGGCTTGGGACAGCTGGTGGAGTCCTGCAGCCACCAGGGTCTGAGATCCTGCAGTCACAGGGTGTAGGCATGAGCTGGGCTCCCCAGCCATGTGGACAGAAGTCTGGGATGATGAAATCCCCAGCACGGCGTCCAGAACTACAGGGTGTGTCCTTCAGATCTTGCCAGTAACTTCTGCTCCTGCCTGGGGTGGCCAGAGTCAGCTCTGGCTTTGGGACTCAGAAGAGCAGCTTAGAGGCCCTGCCTAGTCCATTGCCTGAAGTACACACACACACACACACACACACACACACGTTTTGGCACCCAGAGTGGCTCTGGGCTCCAGAGCAGAGAGTGAGTGGTCACCCAGAAGTGGGTGTAGGGCTGTGTGGGGCCACTCTAAATGCTGTTCTGCCCCTCTGCCAGCACCAGGAACAGAGCTGAGTACACAGCAGGGGCTCAGTAATCACTCAAATCAAAGACTGAGTGAATGAGTCCACCTTGGTGTTGCCCAACAGCCCAACTGTGCTTGGGGGCAGGACCGCGGGAAGGGTTCTCAGCCTCAGGCCCCTGGGTCCTAGGCCTTGGATGTGTCAGCCACAGCCGGCCTCTCCTTCAACCCATGCCAGTGCGCATGCTGGTCCCTCAAGGCAGCCCTACTCCAGTCCCTGCATCCCAGAACCCTGGCCCTGCTGGACCCTGCCTGGGTCCCATCACCAAAAGGAAGACTTGGAGCCAAGGTCACAGGCGTCCTGCCACCAAGGGGATGGGCCGGGCCCGAGCTTGAGGTTGCTGGAGAGCATGGTCACCAGTGCACAGGAGGACTGGGGAGGGGACACCTGTGCACCCTTGGCTGCGGGGGCCCCCAGAGTTCAGGGGGTGCCTTGGCTACTTTGACTCTGGAGCCGTCTGAGTGCCTGCTATGTAACACAGCTTAATGCTCCTGGTGAGGAGACTGTCCTGCCCTGGAGAGAGGAGAGGCTCGGAGAGGGTAGGCGGCTGGCCTGAGGTCACACAGTCAGGAGCAGAGCTGGGACCAGGCCTCAGGGACCCACCCCAGGGCCAGTGCTCTCCATCCACAATGGCTGTGTCCTCACTGTCACGCTGTCTCCTGCTCCTAGGTGGGAGGCCTGCCCTGGGGCACTTCTGCTCCCAGGGGAGGTGGGCGATGCCGGCCCAGGCCTCCCAGCCTGGACGCTGGTCCTGGTGTCCGGGCACTGAGTGTGGTGGGCTGGGAGCATCACAGCAAGGGGCCTGGCCGCTCGGGGCCCATTCACACAGACAGCGGGTGGGGGCAAACGGAGAAGAAACTTTATTTCATGAAGTGAGGACGTGGGGACTCACTGGGCCCCAGGGGACTGTCTGAGCAGCGCAGTGGCCCTGGGAACCGACTCCAGAGCAGGATGAGGGGCAAGGCCCCGGGTGGCAGGTGCAGTCCTCCCACACAATTGTGTGGTGCGGGCTGGGGTCAGGGCAGGGCTGCCCGCCCGACTGGACTGGGTTATGCCTGATCACTCCATGCAGCCGCCTGCCTGGCCCTTGGAGGACTCAGGGACGCGGCGGGCTGGATCACGGTGGGCGGCTAGGCAGTGGTCTGGTGGCTGAAGAGCTCGAGGGTGAGCGCGCTGAGGAAGGCCGGGATGCTGTCCTGGCGCAGCAGGTGCAGCTCGATGAGCTCGGGCACCGAGCGGGAGAACTCCGTCTCCAGCAGCTGCATCTTGGAGCCCGAAGGTCCTGTGGCCTGCAGGTGAGAGACAACAGGTTGAGCAAGGGGCCGCTGGGCCTCTGCCCTCCTCCTTCTTCACACGCCCCTCCACCAGGGCAGGGCAGGGCAGGAGGCACGGCTGCTGTCTAGGTGGGGCAAGGTCCCTTCATTCTGCCCCAGCGGAGTGTGGCTGAGATCAAAGTCACACCAGGCAGCCAGCCCTTGGGCTCCCCCACATACCGAGAGCAGGGTCTCCTCACCTGGACAGATAACTGAGAGGGAGGAGGGGGCCTTGGAGCCGGCAGACCAGGGAACGGCGGTCCCTACCCAGAGCTCCACTGGGGATTCCCCTGCCCCTCCTGAGTTGGGGCTGTGGTTCTTCCTCTGCCCTGGGGTAGGGCAGGGGCTGCTGCAACACAGGATAGCAGGGAAGCCAGGCTCCGAGGCTACTTCAGGAGAAGGAAACCGGCCCCATGGGCTGGGGACTCCAGGAGCAGTGGACTCCCAGGGCAGGGATCTCTGGGGGCTGTCTGGGGCTACCCTGGGCACGGGGTTTCTCTGTGGGCAATGAAAATGCTCTAAGGAGATGGAGGGGGAAGCTCCATGCTAGATCCCAACGTACATCCCAGCGGGAGGACGCAAGACTCTCACGCTCCTCCCCACCATGAGAGGGAACTTCGGGACTGCTGGGCCAGCTCCCTCCTCCATGCTAACCTGGCTGTCCGTGGGGGCTCCCGGAAGACCTCCAGCCTCCTGGCCTTGTGTCACCCCTCCACCCCCAGGGCAGCCCCTCCCTGAGCATGGGGCCTGCGAGGCGCGTGGGCTCCCGGAGCTGCCACCTGTCTTGTTTGTTACGTGCACTTTCCTGTTTTCCCATTTGCGCCTCCGCCTGTTCCCAGAGCCGCTAATACATTTAGCCTTGTCATAGTTCAACACAAACCATTTTTAAACAAAAATAAGAGAAACCACTCTGACCTTTTCCCAAGAAAATCCTTTCATTTCTGCCTTCTGTTCTCGACTCTGAATGTTTTCCCCTAAATGTCAGAGGGGCTGACTCTCAGCAGCTGTCAGGGAAGCTGGCGGTGGGGAAAGCAGGTCAGGGAGAAGTCTCCAGAGTCCCCTCCTGAGGACCTGGGCTGCCCAATGTGGTCCTGAGCACCGTGTCTCCGCTGGACCCCAGTTCTGGAAGGCTCAGATCCCTGCCTCCTTTATTCAGAGCGGGCAGCTGTCCCCACCGTGTCTGTGCTGGTCAGAAGCAGGCAGGGGCAGGGCCCCTCTGCACACAGGTCTCCCCACTGCACAGGTCCTGGGAGGAGCAGGCCCCTGTGACACAGCGGGGGCCCGAGGGGATGGCAGGAGCGCCTCATCCACGTCCCAAATAAGGGTAGATGCTGGTGTCAGCAAACGCCAGTCCTGCCTGCAGGAGGAGCCTCCTGTCTCCCTGCCCTGGGTCCTCAGCCCACTCTCCCGTCTTGGTTTCCTGGTGTGCCCCTGTCCCCTTTGCACTGGCAGATCTGCCGAGGCAGCAGCCTCGGCCTTATCAGAATGTGCAGATTGAATTATGCCCTGCCGATCAATCTTGGATCAGCCTCTGTCGTGTTCAAATACCACCCGGTCCCCAGGTGCCTTGTAAATCACCATAATTAGGGGCTGTTCACTTAAAATTAGAGTGCAATTTTTTAAAAAGCAAATTGCCCAGTAAGACATGCTGGCTATGGCTGGAAATATTTATGGGCTGCCTGCGTGCACTGTCTCTGGCTTCCTCGTCCCTCCGTTTGGGAGGGACTGGAGGCCGTGGCTGGTGCCTGGGGGACACTGAGACAACTCAGCCCTAATGAAGACACTTGGCTGCCAGGTGGGTGGTGGCCACTACACTCAGGCCAGACCTACCTGGCCTGGCCTCGGGCCTCCACCTCCACCTGACAGCAGAGCCGGGGGTGCCCCAGGGCCTCCCTCCCAGGCAGGAAGGCCAGCTCCAGGCAGGGCCTTCACTAACAGGAAACGCAGGAGACAAGCACCCTGCAGTGCTGAGCACCCGCGGCTCGGGAGCTGGCTGAGTGCTGCATTGCCCCATCCGCAAGGCCTGGCAGTGTCCCCACTGATGCATACAGGAGGTGCTTCATAAAGCTTCTTTGGCAACTGGAATACTGAGCAGGAAAATATCCAGAGCTAACAGAGACCTTAGGGAGCGGAGACAGACACTCTCTCCAAGTCCCTTCTGTGCCCACTAACTGCAGCTGTAGTGCAGCACAGAGGTGACAAAGAGCTGCCTATCAAGAGCAAGATCTCTTCTTGGAGGGCATCAGTGAAAGGTCCACAGGTGAGAAATATAGTGGAGGAAGGGCCTAGAGGGTAAGCCCACTGTAACGTTCACAACGCTGAATCTGGTCTCAAATAAGCAAAACTGAAATACAGGAAACAGAAAACATCCAGGAAGTGTAAATCCTACTACTTCAGATACCCATGAGCTATTTTAATATTGCTTACACGTGAGGGAGAGTTTTGTCATTAGGTTAGCAAAAATGTCCCCACTGCTTCTTGAGGAAGTGGCCGACTGCAGGGCTGAGCTGTGAAATGCCGCTGAGCTGGTGCTCTGTGTCAGGAAACACAAAGTGCTCACGACAGAAGAGGCCACGCCAAGAGGATGTGGGCACCAGGAGTCATAAGAGAAAGCTGACAGGAAAATAACACATCCTTTAAGCGCAGGGAAATTAAACAGCCCACTTCTAAATAGTCCAAGGGCCAAGGAGGACATCCCAAGGGAAATAAGACATACAGAGAATTGAATGAAAATTAAGATGCAACATCATGAAACTTGTCATTGCACCTAAGGCAGTGCTTCCAAGGAAAGTGATAGATAGACCTAAATGCTTATGGGAAAGACCTCAGTTCCTGCCCAGAGAAACTGGAAAAAACAAAGCAAACCCTGGCACACAGAAAGGAGGGAATGGAGAAGACAAAAGCAGGAATAAACAATATCGAAAATAATTACTGAGACCAAAAACTGGCCCTTTGCAAAGCAGGAATAAAAATGGATGAAGCTCTAACAAGATTGCCAGAGACAGCGATGCTCAATTCTAGAAACACGACAGGGGGGACCACAGCAGACCCTGAAGCTACTAGAGGAACACAGAGGAAATCCTACAGAAATCCTGTGTGCGCACAAATCTGACAATCCAGGATGGAGCCAGTGCCTCAAAAACTGCAAACTACCAAGACAGCCAGGATGAAACGGATGACCTGAACAGCCCCCTAACAAAGAAACTAATGTATAATTCAAAAGCTCCCCCAAAAGACATCTCCTGTCCCAGCTGGCTTCACCAGAGAATTTTACTGAACATTTAACTAAGAAATAATGCCAATTTTTACAATCTCTTTGAGAAAACAAGAGAGATATGCAGTCATTAATCAGGTGCCCAAACCAACACACACACACATATGCAATGACCAGTATCTCTCATCAGCTTAGATGCAAAAATCTCTAACAAGTATTAGCAAACTGAACCGACCACTATTTAGAAAAAAATGCCATACCATGACCATATGGGATTTATTTCAGGTATGCAAAGCTACTTCAATATTTGAAGATCAATGTAACTACCACATCAACAAGCTAACACAGAAATCTCATCAATTAACAGAAAATGCATTTGAAAAAAACTCAATAACCACTCATAACAAAAACTCAGTAAAGGAGGAACCAAGGGGATTTCCTCGACTTGCCTCAAAGCACCCATTGGTAACCTAGAGCAGACAGCGGACTTCATGGTGACAGGGTGGCACTTCCCTGAGATAGGAGTCAGGTGAGGGCCTGTCCTTGCCACTCATACTCTGCATGGTACTGAGGTCCTAGCCAGGACATCAAGTGAGAAAGAGAAACACAGTGCACACAGACTGGAAAAGAACATCTGAAACTGGTCTACCTGTAAATGACATGACTGCCAATGTGAAGAACCCTACAGAAAAATTGCAACCAATAACCAAGGTTGCAGGATACAAGATTAACACACACACCCCAAATCCTATTTCTAGAAAGCAAAAGTGAACAAGTGAAAAATAAAATAAGGGCAGTACTATTTACAAAAAACTTAGTGTCTTTATGTTAAAAGTTATAAACTGCCAATGGAAAAATATTTAAATAAAGACATACAATGTTCATGGATCAGAAAACTTGATTTAGAAAATATATAATTTTTTCCAAAACTGATCTATAGGTTTGCTGTAACTCCTATCAAAATCTCAGCAAGATTTTTTTTTTGTAGCCATTGATATGGCTATGCTAAAATCTATATGGAAAGGAAAGAGTCCTAGGATAGCCAGGTAATTCTGAAAAAGGAGGAAGGGGGATGGCCTTCCCAGTGTGAAGGTGCATAGATGGTGAGTAGGACAGATGTGGGCAGCAGTGGGACAGGTCAGGGGAGCCCAAGACAGACCACACAAACATGCTTGGTGGGAAGTGGGACAGCAACTTCATGGAGGGTGACGGTCCCTTCTATAAATGGTGCTGAAGCAGCTGGATAGCCACAGTTAAATTTTTTAAAAACTAAAGCTCACACATAATATTTAACTCAAAATGTACCACGAATTTGAATGTAAAACATACAACTTAAAAAAGATAAAGTCTTTAGGAACTGGGACTAGGCAATGATTTAAGACTTGATACAAAAAGTGCCTTCTCAGTCCCTCTACTATTCCTGAGCCAGGGCAGGACCCAGACATGGGGCATGGGCTTCCTGGCTTGGAGAAGCAGCTGCCCATGTCTGGTGTTCTGGGTCTATAAAACCCTACGCTGAGCGTGGCTTCGGCTCACTGGTGAGCTCTCCAAACCTGTCTGCAAGTGGCTGAGTAGGCTAAACACTGGGCTCAGGGGAATGTGCATGCACAGTGGGGGCCGTCGCTGAGGGATCCCACACTGACTCCAGCCACATGCACAAGGGGCAGCAGCTGACTCCTGGCCTGGGCCTGTAAGGCTGCTACTGCAAAGTGAGCTCCTCCTAGCCTGGGTCCCCTCCCACTGCAGGGGATCTTTTGCCACT